TGTGTGTTAAGAAGCCAGGCAGTGAGACAGAATGAATGACTCAGCCAGGAACTATTCTGGAAATATAGCTAGAGAACCAAGTGGAATTATCAAGTAACTCTTTTTTGGGTAAGGTCTCTGAAAAATAAAGTGTAATATGATTTTGATATTAATTGTAGTAACTAATTTGGCACTAACACAAAATATAAAATATATCCTGCTCTTGAATACAAAAGAAGTATCTAAGAATTGACTTCCCTGTTGCATTCCATTTTATTTGGTATTATTAGTCCATTTTTGGTACATCTTCAGAAAAACCATTTGTTATACTGATTGATGGGCATCTGTTCATGGATAATTCAATGACTATTTTAATTCCACCTCAAATGTTGTGAAGCAAGTCTTACAAATTTTCACTACCCCGGGGGAGAGGGATTGAAGAATTGTTTTTTTCTCTCAGGGGAAAACAAAACAAAATAAAACAAAAAGTCAAAGAGATAAAAGGAAATTGTAGGTTTTTCCTTTAAGTGTATTGTAAAACAAAAAAGACATTTTGGCAATGAAAATTCTAAAAACTCTTCAAGTGAAACATTTCTGTAGGGACTCGGAGGACAAAACAGAAAGTGGCAGGAGAGTGACCTGCCTTAGGAGAGGTATCCTGAGGGGAAGTGAAGTTCATTGTCATTACTGTCCGCCTTTTTCCAATGCCCAGGCCAGAAGGCCACTCTCAGGCAGCCCCAAGCAAGAGACAGCAGTAAGCCGTTTGCATTACTTCTGTTTACAGGCTTCACCCCTCCTGGAAATGTGTACTTTAAGAGGCTCACCTCTGCGGAGGCCACCATCTGCCCCTTCTTCTTGCTCGAGGATTACAGGAGGTTTAGGTAAAGACATGGAGCAGTGACTATGTGACGGAAACAGGCTGCTTGTCTGTCCAGATCAACGCTTCCCATCACTTCTATATTCCTATCCCGCCCTCCTTTCCATATCTTTCTGTTTCCAAGCATGGCAGTGGGGAGCATTTTTTTTGTGAAGGGGGCAGGGGGAGGGGTGGGAAGAGAGGGCAATCGCAGGGAAACGTCAGCACTAAATCCAATGGACTGGATGTGTACGGGTATATGTTCAGGCAGTAAGGCATCTGGATGGGAAGTACGTTTATGCTAGCGATCTGTTTTGTGCTGCTTAAACCACTGCCCAAAACAGCAGTCTGCTTTTCACAAACTGCTATTTTTATGATTCTCATGCTGGAATTATGTCACAGAAAGGCATTTTTTCCTTCCTGTTCAGGTGGGTGGATTTTGCTGCACAAGACTGAGGCTTTGCATAACTTCCGGAAGAAGGCTAGATGATACTACGTGCTCCTGGAGTTCAGGCAACCTCGGTTTCTGGTGGAGGCATGCCAGGCTCCTCTGTGCCAGCATTTTCCATGGAGAAGAGGGTATCGGGAAATTTAGAAGACAAGGTCTTAGTCCTCGTTCTGCCACTGACTGGCCATTATACTAAATGGGCCATTTAACCGCCCACAGCTGGTTTTACACCCACAAATGGGACTCACCTTCCTATCTCACAGAGTTGTCGAGAAGGAATACACAGAAAAGTCCTTGTTTCCAGGCCACAGTTCTCTGCAAGTCTTAGGATCTCTAGTTGGAGAAGTCTCACAGAGACTATTTAGCATTAATCCTTGTTGCCATTAGAATTATTTGGGAAGCGTCTTAAAATACTACTTGGTCCCACCTCAGACTATTACTTCAAAATCTATGGTGCTGAGTTCCCCAAGCATTGGTAGTTTTTTAAAAGCTCCCAAGTAAAATTCCAAAGAGCCCTGCTGCTAACCACAAGGTTGGTAGTTTGACCCCACCAGCTGCTCCAAGGGAGAAAGATGAGTCGTCTGCTTCCATAAAGATCGGCAGCCTTGGAAACCTTCAGGAGAAGTTCCCCTCTGTCCTATGGGGTCGCTGTGTGTTGGAATTGACTCGATGGCAGTGAGGCTGGTTTGGAGAGATTCCAACAAGTGATTCCAACATGTGTCCAAGACTGAGAGCAGCTGGCCAGACCATGTAACTTATCAAGAGTGGTGCCAGGACTAGAAACCTGGTTTCCTGCCCCTGAACGCAGAGTTCACTCTGCCATAGCAGGAAAATGCCTAAAAGATGGGAGGCTGTGGCAGAGGGGAGAGTCGGATATGCACTGGGACTAAGCACCAGGATTTCCCCAGTAAAGCTGTGCCACAGACTAACTGCGTGGGTGGGAGGAATGAGTCATCCACCTAGTGGTTCTGTCTGAGGCAAAGGAAGTCCTACTTCTGGCATTTCTTGTCTGACAACCACCCACCCCTGGCCTACTATCCCCATCACTGTTTTCAGAACCTGTCAATAAAAATTGTTTATATGACCAACGGAGCAAAAAGCTCCTTTGTGACTTTAGAAGTTACCCAAGACAAGGGGAAGCCATGATTTCTTTGGTAAACTTTAAAAAGGGAAGACTTTAGAAAAGGTTTTAAAATATTGTAATGAAACTCACTGGGCAATGTTTTTAAGTCTGAGAAGTATGTGAGTGTCCCAAATAATTTTTTAAACTTTGTGTCCATTGTTAGGACAATTGTTGAAAAATCATCTAAGCCCTGCTCAGATAACCTTGATGAATATGTGGTATGCAAGAATTTTAGTGCCCACATTTGCACTTGGTTTCACCATCACACTGGTGAAGGTGGAACACTATGGAGGTGGAAGAAAAGGAAAGAACAAGGCGATATGCAAACAGGCATTCGTACAGAGTGAGGACCCAATGACATCACAGGCAGCTGTGCAAAGATGGTAGTTCCAATAGAGAAAAGAGAAGAAGAAATGAATCAGCACTGGGTACCATTTCGAGCGGGTATGTCAAGTTGAAAGGAGTCTATGAATCGGTACCAGGCTCATGCTGTGAGCATTGGTTCCATGTCAGCTAAACAATACATAAGGTCATTGATCCCTGCAATAAAAAGATACTACCACAGATGAGCGAGATGTTAATTACCAGTTATGAACAAAGAATCCATGGGAAGGGCTGGGCAAAGGGACTAAGATCAACTAAAAGCAGATAGCCTGGTGATTGCAAGAGGAGAAACAAAACAAAAACATAAGTGGGGTGGGGCAGAGAGACCATATGAGGAGGTTTCAAAGCTTTTGTGGAAAAATGGAATGGAAAGACAGTGGAAGCTTTTCCAAAACTTTTTGAAGCCCCCTTATGTAGCCGAGACCATCTAGAAGATGCTGATGTAAGGGTAGTGAGCCACAGTACTGTTAATAGTTGCCACGGAGGTCTACCAATAAAGTCTGCAGAGTTTGGGGGCACCAACTATTAACACAGTCTAGGACAGGCGTGTGCAGAGCTGGGTTGGAGAGAACAACAGGGGAGGAAGCTGGGTCTCCTGTTACTGGGGCACTGAGGCGTACTGTTGGCTAGTGAAGGTGGAAGGTGTCTACCGTTCTGTGAATGTAAAGGTAGATAATGAATCACCCAAATACTGTTCCCAAAGTGGTGCCAAGCATGTGTAGAGGTGGTGGGCATTGCCAAGTTAGCCACATTTTCTGGATGAGACAAGTTTCAAGCACACTAATTTCTGGGGTCTGAGGTCCCTTGCCCATTCCTCTCAACTTTCGGGGGAAATTAAACTTTATTTAATCAGAACACTAATAACACACGAGTGGGCCCAAACTTTCTGTGTGGAGTCACAGAGCCCTGAAATCTCTTGTCAGGATAAAAGGGATTATTAGGAACATGAACGTTTCTGAGACCAGGTCAGAGGCAAGGAAGGGAGGCACAGCTGGCTGCGCAACTCTGCCCACAGAATTCTGGGAAACAGATATGGCAAGCATGTAGCCTTTCATGAAAGGGGCACATGAGGACATCAACTAGCTTAGAGATCGTTCATTTTTCTTTAAAAAGGAAAGGAAATAGTTCTATCATACTCGCAGCCACTCCTCCCCCCACCTCACCCCCCCCCACACACAAAAATATACCACTCCACTTGAGTATGCAATTACAGATAAAATTAAGAATGGCCAACTTAGAGAAACATGTGGAACATAGCTCACAAAAAGAGACGAGGCCTACTTATTGACTAGAACTGATGAGACCCCGAGACTATAACCCTCGGTCACTCTTAGGTCTAGACGTGAACATTCAGCCAAACAACAGCCAGGTCTAAAAGAGGAACAATAACTTTGGGGAGGTACGCACATCTTAGACTAACCAACCATTTGGGAGTAAAAGGGCAGCGTCTGTCCAAGGACCAAGTTTAGAAGGATTAGGAAAGAAGGTAAATGGAACTTGGGGAAATACAGGGAGGATGTGGGAAAAGTGATGCTACATTGTGGGGACTGCAGCCAATGACATAAAACAAGATGTGTACGGATTACTGAATGGAAAACGGATTCACTCTGTGAATCCTTCATCCTGTGAACCTTCATCCAATTTGAAATTAAAAAAAAAAAAAAAATCAAATAGGTCTCAGTTAAAATGGATGAACCTTGTGGCAACTATGCAATCTTGGTCAACATATTTATCGTATCTGAGCCTCAGTTCCTCTATTTGCCAAGTAGAATTAATAAGAAAGGAGCCCAGGGGGAGGAGGAGGTAAATGGCTAAGCACCCAGCTGCTAACCAAGAGGTGAGAGACAGGCTGAAGTCATATCATTTACATAGGCCTGACAGGTAAAAACAATGTTGATTTTGTTTTTAAAGCTGTGTGGAACTGTAGAGATCTCCCCCAGGCCTTTCCGTTACAGAGGAAGTACTGGGGCCCAGAAGGTGAGCAATCGTGGAAAGATGAAGGAGTAGGAAGTAAATCTGGAATTGATGCTCCACCAATGGACTTGGGGAGTTCACCTAATCTCCCTAAAATGGGTTATTCTGAGGACAAAGTGAAATAAAGTTACGTAGAGAACCTGGCTCTCCAAGGTCTGGTACACAGTAGTGTCTAGTAAAATGTTTCTTTACTTTCTCCCTTAAAAAGAAAGCAAGAAAAAGAAAAAAAGACTCACCTTACTCCAAGCATAATTCCAAGTCACAGAACTGTCACTTCCTAGGAGATCCTTCAGCCAGGTGACTAGGTTTTGATAAACCTGACCATTTTCTACCTTAATTTTACCACTGAATAAAATACTGGCTTTGTGGGTAGCCTCCTGAAATAGAAGATAAAACAAAAATTAAAACACAAAAATAGTTGTTTGTATCTAGTATAATGAAATTCACAACTCCTTAAGAAAAACCACCAATAAAAAATAAGCAAAATATTACAGTAGAAACTTCACCAAAGAATAAATATAGATGGCAAATAAACATAGGGGAAGATGCTCACCATCTTTAATTATTAGGGAAATGCAGATTAAAACTACAACGGTAAGCCATAATGATATGTATTTTAGCATGGTTTAAAAATAAGAGAGTGGTTGAGAAATATATATATATATACATATTTCTAGAATATATATTTAATGTATAAAGACTAATCACCCCAAGTATTCAGGATATGGAGACAGGGGGAAAAGGAACTCTTATACACTGCTGTAGGAAAGTAAAATGATGAAAACAGATTGGCAATTTCTTAAAAAGTTAGATGTACTCCTACCATATGATCCTGCCACTCTGTCCCTAGGTATTTACCCAAGAGAAAAAAAAGTCTATGTTACACCAAGACCTGTATACCAATGTTCATAGTAGCTTTAATTTTTACAATGAACAACTGGAAACAGGTCCAATGTCCTTCTAGAATGAACTGATAAACCAACTGTGGTATATAAATACAAGACTACTCTTCAGTCATAACAAGGGAATGGACATAAAGTAACAAGGGACATATGCTAGCAGGATGAATCTCAAAATAATTATGCTGAGAGAAAGAAGCCAGACTCCCTCTAAAAAGGTGTTCTATTCTAAAACATGATTATTTCACTTGCTGAGAATGCAATCACTTTTGGCCTCTAATCAGGTAGGCCAGCCAAACCCCATTTCTATAGCCACAGCTATATAGTCTAAGTGACAATAACATTCACAGTATATACTCGCGTATAAGCTGAGTTTTTCAGCACATTTTTAGTGCCGTTTTTGTGGTAAAATTAGGTGCCTCAGCTGATATTCAGATCAGCTTATACTCGAGTATGTAAGTACTCATTTATAAAACTTACATGGTTTTAGAGAAAAACTAAATAGGATACCTGTGTTTTGAATTCCAGAATGTTATGCCCAGGATTAATTTTTCCCATTAACATCAGATCCTTTATCTGCAAGCGTTTCTTTTTAGGAGCTATGTTGTAATTTAAAGGCTTTTTGATTGTCTGTTGATGGCCAGTCCCCGAGCTGGCCATCTGATGGCCACCTTCACATGAGGCGGCCGAAGCTGACTTTTTCAGGTATGGCTTCACCTGGCTTGCAGTATCACTGCCTAGGACAGCAATCCGTTGATGCGCCAGGGATTCTGATGCTGCCCGAGGTGGTTTCTGGGAATTTGTTTTCCTTTTTCTTTTGGGAACATAATTGGGAAGGTCTTGGTCACAAATAATAGTTGACGGATGGACATCTTTTTGGGTAAATACCGTTGTGCTTTCTGAAACATCTAATGTGCTAGCAATTGCAGGAGAATTGCAGGACTCATACTCTTTGGCTGTGGTTTTTAAAAGATCATTTTTATTTTGTGAACAATCTGCTTGAGCAATAAAAGCAACAGGCTGTGATGGCAATGCAGTCTCCTCAGTGCCATCTGAATGACTGGATTCTGAGAATATGACATTTTGTTTAGAACTCAGCTCATTTCCAGAAAGGTCTTCACTACATGCTGTCTCTGAATTTAGGCAAATATTGGTACTTTGGCTGTCATTCTGAACTTCAATCTCAGTTTCTGGGGACAGCTGTGCTTCCTGTATGCTTCCACAGACAAGGCTGGCAGGGAAGCATGTGCCTGTTTGGGGCTGTATTGATTTTTCCAGACTGGTAGGCTTTTGACTGTTCTTTTTATTAGAGATTTCTGGGCTAGATGGCGGCTCCCTCACAGTAAGTCCAGACAATGGTGTGTCATTCTTACAGCTTTGAATTTTCAGGCTTATCTTTTTCTGTTTCTTCGCCACGACTAAAAGACTTTTCTGTCTTGCAGCCAAGTTGGCCAGTTGTTCTCTCAGAGCACCCTGCTTAAATGCCTCTTTGGACACCCTACAGAAAGAAACACAAAAAGAGAAAGACAAAAACAGGTGAAAATTTGTTTCTGAGTAGAATTTAGGTGTTAGTTTAGGTAGTATGTTGTTTCAATATTAAAATGTAACCAGCTTGATAAAATTAGTCAGGTAAATGTAAAGGTACACAAATGTCTACTTTTGCCAGGCATTTCCTTTGAGGGAAATGGGATGCATTAAGTGGGCTTGCTTGCTTTCAGGAGGTGGCTCTATCCAGAAATAGTCTCATATCATCAGTTGTAAATTAACCCTACAAGACAAACAAGAGTTAAGTTGTCAATTTAGTTATCTTGTAATCCGTAAGCTGAAAGGCGGCTGAGGAGGGGCACTGTTATGAAACACATTCTGGAAGAAAAATTTGGGAGTAAGCTCCATTCAGTTCCCTCAGCCATGTAGGAGTAAAATTGTTCTGTGAATAAGTATACCTCAGGTAGGCTTGAGACATATCACTTCACCAACTAATTACTACGATTGTACTTTGTTCCATATAGAGGCACTTTCAAGTTCAGGGGCACTATCCAGACAAACATTATCTTGTGTTCCTTCCTCGAACCAAATCTCTCAAGGGCTTGGCTAAGGGAGAGGAAATGGCTCGCCATGCCTCTTCCACAGCTCTAGTATCTGGTTGTGTTCACTCATCCATCCCTCAAGGACCTTCAGGGTATTGGCCACTTGGTTTCCCCTGTTCTAAACATTTTGTTCTCAAGACCCCCTTTCACTCATAAAAATTACTGAAGACTTCACAGAGTTTTTGCTTATGTGAATTTTATGTATCAATAGTCTCTGTTAAAGAAATACTTAAAACACAAGATACACAAGCATATCTTCTAGTGGTCATTTGAGTGATATCATCATGCCATGTGGCTCCTAGAAATTCCACCTCAAGAGAATGAGAGGAAAAAATGCAGAAAACATCTTAATATTTGTATTAATCTAGGTACTTTAGAGAAACAAATCCACAGCAACTCATGTATAAGAGAGTTTTATGTAAAGAAAGTGTGCATCACGAAAACATCCTAACCCAATGCTGCCCAAGCCCACAAGTCCAACATTAACCCATTAACCCAACACCAGTCCACAAAGTCCTCCACCTCACAAAACAGGCAGATGCCTACTGAAGGAGGAAAGCTGAGTCAGTGAATGAATAAGCATCTCAGCACTAGCAGGGGTCTCCACATGGCTGCTCCAGCACGCAGGGCTGCATTGGGATAGGTCCATGTGGCTTCTCCGTGAGGATGTCTTGTAGGAAGTCAATCTTGCAAGCTGAAGCAGGGAACTGCTAAGGCAGCTGCACCCGGTGCAACCACCACAAAGCAAGAGACCCTAGAACTAGAAAGGCGAGGCTCACCACCCATTTATCCCTCAGCCTTTCAAGTGTGATTATCGGCCAGGTTGGCACAATTAATTAACTCAATATTGTTATACAAATCAAGAAGCCCTGGTGGGGCAGTAGGTAAAACACTTGACTGTTAAGGAGAGATTGGCGGTTTCGAGTTCACCAGCAGGATTGCAGGAGAAAGATGTGTTACAACCTGCTTCTGCCAAGATTTCCAGCCTTGGAAGACCATTTCTACTCTGTCCTATAGGGTTTTTCGTTGTGAGGTAGAATAACTCAGTGGTAGTGGGTGTTTTTTATTACAAAAACCATTTTGACTTCACCCCACGCCAAACCCACTGCTGTAGAGTTGCTTCGAGGCTGTCAGTCTTTATGGAAGCAGACTGACCCATCTGTCTCCCATGGAGCAGCTGTGGGTCAGGAGCCAAACGCAGACCTTGATTGGGACTTCACAGATCCCCGAAAATGGACTCCTCTGGGTCCGTTAGCCGACCTTAAAAAGCTCTTGCTTTAAGAGAAAACGCTAAAGAGATTTTGCCTCTTCTCTTTAGTTTAGGGTAACCTGTGGGATTATAAAGAGACTTCCCCAGTTTTGTCTCCCCCCCAAAGACATGCCGAACATTGGAGGCTTTTTGCTAGCATATGGAGGGAGGTCAGATGCTTAGAGACATCCTCCCTGAAGGCAGTCAGTTGCCAGACTACTATCTGGTCCCACCACAGGTAGGCCCCCCTCCCTGCTGTGAAGGAAATGGGCTACTTCTCCCTAAAGGCATGTGACCATTAGCTTGGTTCCTGTAGGGTGGGTTTATACCCTACTGATAATGGTTTCTATGGAGATCCAGAGAAAAGGTCAGACCTGCTCAGTGACATCCAAAGTTAGGCTGCCATCCTGTATCTAGGATCTGCCCATCTTGTCACATGGTTACCCCTACCCTTCCTATTACGTGGATATCCTTAGATTGTCCCCCTCTCATTGCTGTGTAACCTATAGTGCAACCCCTTCCTGTGACGTATGTCTTTACCTGTAATTAGTGGGCTTGCACTTCCCCAAAAAGTATATAGGCCTGGGTTAGCAATAAAGAGCTCCCTCGGCTCCCCCTTGGCTCCTTCTCCTCTCTGGCCCTCTCTCCCCTGTTCCCTTTCTCCTTGTCCTCCTTCCCCTCCCCCTCTCTCCACATGGACCACCAAGGGGGGCTGAGGTGAGCATGCTACCATGAAATGTGTCTGACTCCATTATTTCAATCTCTCTTCTATCTCTCATGCTCTTTATGACTTTAATATAATCTTTATATATTTTAACTGTACAATTGTGCCTATCGAACCCGTGATTAGTGGTGGGGGCTGGCATATCCCCCCACAGTTGCAGGTACTGAACTCCCAGCAGATGGGATATAAAAGGGAGCTGCAGATATAAGGGGATGAAGCAGCAAGAAGGAATCAGATTAACAAACAACAGAGAATGCAAGAACCTAAAAATCAGAGAAAGGAAAAAATATCACACTTAAAACTGTGTAACAAGAAGTTCAAAAAAACCCAAAGGGGCCCTTTTTAGATCACTCCTACCAAAGTTTGAGGTCTTGTCACAGTATTCATAAGGATTTACAAACTCCCACTGATCTCTGAACTCCTACATACGGAGTTAAGCATAGGATACTAAAGGAAACTGAGTCAAGCTTCTCCAAAGTGCCCTAGAAAATAAATCTATCCTACAGTCAATCAGCACCAATATACTACATGAGCTCACTTGCACTATACTGATAGAAAAGAGTCTGGAAATAAAAATAAACTTATGATTCTGCTTCCTTAGCGACAAAGGAAAACTCAGGAAAAAAGATGGGAGAATTACAAAGAAGAATAACTGACTTTTATATAAGTTCTAAAAAACTGAGACTGCAATAGATGTCAAGTAATTAAAAAGAATATAAAGGAAGTTTTAGAAAAATTAAATGGAAATAAAGAAGATATATATAGTGATTATGAAAAGCTAATAAAAAAAATTCCTAAACAATAAGATACTTCTCAAAAAAAAAAGAGAGATAACAAATATAAATTTGTTAGAATAAAATTCCTTAAGAGTAGTGAAAGTTTAGGAGTACACCAAAAAACAAATATGCACGATTAGTTAATTGCCTAGAAGGGTAACATTGGTGACAATAATAACAAAAATATTTCTTAAGGTAAAGTGTTGGAAATTTACTAAGGAAGGAAATGTTTGAGATCATGACTAGAGGCTTTCAGAAAATTTTTGGCCATAGACACCTCTAAAATATTAAAATGTCCTAAAGTCATAAAGCAGAAAAACATCCTTCTGAGAAACTGAAATTCCTCATGGAGATAAAAGGGTTATTTGGTCTCCTATACGGTTCTAAGGAACCTGTATTCTTAAAGAAAATCTAGGCCTACCGACTATGGGAAAACTCTAAAAAAAAAAACCAAACACTTTTAAGCACTTTTTATCTTAAACTTACCTGTATTTCTTAGCCAAATCATCCCTTTCTGCCTTTTGTTTGGCAAGCACGCTATCCATCACCTCTTTAATTTGTAGCATCTTTTCAATATATTGTTCTAGAAACAGAAATAAAATAAGACCCGTTACATTGAGAGATAGCAAAGAATACAATTGGGTACATAAGACAGCCTTACTGTTTATTTCAAAATGGTGTTTTTCCTACACTCTTTCCGAATAGTAATGCTCCCCGCCCCAATATCCTCCTACACCCAAACAAGCCAAACTTATTTAATCGTCATCCTATGGAAGTGCCTAAAAGCTTACTGATATCAAGAAAGATCTGGCAGGCCCAGTTCTAGTCCTGCGGCCCCAATGTTAAGGTTTGTTTGCATATCTATGAAAAGAAGGTTGAAATGAAAGAGAAGTATTTTTTCCAGTTCAAATTATTTATTTTTTAAAATATGAAAGGGCTACATTATCATTGTAAAAGAAATTCCAAATATAAATGTTTATAAAAAGGTTAAAGAGCACCCCACTCGCTTTCCTTTTTCTCTGTTTTACTTTACAAAGGAGAGCGATGTCAGTGCTTCAGTGAGTGGATAAAATGTATTCTAATTTTTATATAAATATATACACACTCTATGTAACTATATAATGTATGAGCTGAAAAACCAGAATCATACTGTTAATTCTTATTCTTTGCATTTAGCACTTGGCTAGGACTGCATGAGAGATCTAAGGTTACTTTCCAACTTTACAAAATTTCCACTATAATAATTGTTTCCTACTTTCTTCTATTGCTTCCAAAGGAAAGGTATCATTCCCTCCAACACAAAAAACAAGACTGACACATAATCCTGTGGATTATGTCCAAATCCAGCTCTCCAAGTAGGAACTTGAAAAGCTTAGGTGACTATATTTTATTTCTTTTAAGCCTCTTGCTAATCATTTCAGTTGGATTCAGTCAGAATTTGTTCTGAACCTTCCTTGGCAAGTCGGACAAATTATTTGGTGTTGGTATCCCCAGAGTAGTTTTCCTGTCATCCTATGGGGCATATTCATTTCCCAATGTGCTGTGTGTGCCAACAATGGAGAAATTTGTCTGACCCTCAAGAATTTACATAGAAATTTATATGGCAAATTTGACAGGTTAACCAATTACCTATTACCAAATTATTCTTTTAAAACATTTTCTAAATTTTCACCCTTAAATTATCTATGTGTCCTGTTGCACTGGGTTTTCTAACCAAATTTTAAACCACATGTAAAAATAGCATATCACAGTAATCTAATTTACTCTATGTGCTGGCTGCTACAACAAATGATATATATGTACATCTAACTTCATACCATACATTTATTTATCAAAAAGATAACATTAAAAATTAGCATGAGAGAGAACCTAGAAATTGCCATCATATGCTTAGCAGTATAAGATATAATAACAAGGAGGAAAAGAGAAATGATTCAACCAATAGGGGTGGTACGCTGCTGTGGTTAGGTGCCTGAGTTGGCTCTGAACCACAGAACGAAATGTTGCCTGGTCCTGTACCTCCTTTACACAGGCATGAAAGTCCGTCACTGTGGCCACTGGGTATTCTGAGTGTCATCTAAGCGCCAGGGCTCACTTTCCAGCACTACATAGGACAATATTCTATTGTAAGTCAGAGAGTTTTTGGTGGCTAATTTTCAGGGGTAATTACCAGTCCTTTCTTCCTAGACTGTCTCAGTCCAGAAGCTCTGCTGAAACCATGAGTAATTCTGCTCCTATTTGAAACACCGGTGACAAAGCTTCCAGCATCACAGCCACATCTGAGCCACCACAGCAGGAACAAACCGAGAGAAGGGAGATGGGTAAGGATGGGCAAATGTGGGAAAATCCTACTCTGTCTTCAGGCCACATGCAGAAAAGAAATTTCAAATTAATTATAGACTTAAACATGCTTAAACAAAGCAATATAAAGGGTTTGAATGGTCATTTTTTGGTCTCAATTCAGTTTGGTACTAAAGATATCTGAGACCAATGTGAATACAAGTCTTCTATAAGAAAAAGTTACAAAGAAATATACAATATGGGGTTCATTACTCTTTGAGTCCTCAGTCAGATAAAGTGGAAAGAGGTGTACATGTAAAGAAATTTCTTTAGAGGGCTGTTGCTGAACTATATGGAAGTCTCCAGGCCAAGCAACAAGAGTGAGCAAAGTGCAAGGGCGTTTCTCTCCTTTATGTCAATCCTAATTGGGATGGTGGTAGTGGTGGGAGGCAGTTTCTCAAAGGAACTCTTGTTTAGACAGTTTAAACCTGAACTCCCAGTTGAGGTGGTACTGGACTGCTATCTGGCTTCCTCCCAGAACATCTAGATGCAGAGATCCCGAAGTACGAAGTTGCCACAGCAGGACAGAGAAAGAGGATGGGCTTTGGCTAATTGTAGGGAAAGATACAAAGATCCCAAGGATGTGAGTTGGGTCTGGCCTATGATCCTGCCCACAGTTCTGGCTGATGAGCTCTGTAGAGCCTCAAAAGAGCTCAACAGAGTCAGTTGTGAAATATCTATAGGCAAGCTGCAGAGTTAACCATAGTCAGTTCTCAGCCAAGAACCCTCAGTCCCCATGTCTTAGCTCTTTTCTCCCTTCAGGGGGCTGGGACACAATCAATCCATCAACAAAACAAACAAACAAAAAACTTCACTGCCATCAAATCAATCAATACATGCCTGAAAATAATGGTTATCTGATATATTGGCTATTATCAAATAAAATTCAATGATCAATTCTTAGGGTGGGAAGGTGAAAAGAGTTTCTAATTTGAAAAGCATCCAAACAAATAGTAAAGGAAGAAGGATGGTAGGCTTGACCATGCAGGCTTTGAAATTGGAAGAACTGTACATACTCATGTATAAGCCGAGTTTTTCAACACATTTTTAATGCAGTTTCTGTGGTAAAAGTAGAAGCATCGGCTGGTATTTGGTTGGCTTATACTCAGGTACATACAGTACATAAAAACAAACTGAGTTAGTTAATTGTGCCAGCCTGGCCGATAATCACATGTGGTGCTGGCTGAAAGGCGGAGGGATAAATGGGTGGGGAGCCTCGCCTTTCTAGTTCTCGGGTCTCTTGTTTTGTGATGGTTGCATCAGGTGTAGCTGCCTTAGCAGTTCCCTGCTTCAGCTTGCAAGATGGATTTCCTACAAGACATCCCCAAGGAGAAGCTGCATGGATCTATCCCGATGCAGCTCTGGGTGCTGGAGCAGCCGTGTGGAGACCCCAGCCAGTGCTGAGATGCTTGTTCGTTCACTGACTCAGCTTTCCTCCTGCAGTTGGCATCATTGCCTCTGTTTTGTGAGGTGGAGGACTTTGTGGACTGGTGTTGGGTTAATGGGTTAATGTTGGACTTGTGGGCTTGGGCAGCATTGGGTTGGGATGTTTTCGTGATGCACATTTTCTTTGCATAAAACTCTCTCTTATACATGAGTTGCTGTGGATTTGTTCCTCCAAAGTACCTAGACTAATACACAAACCAATAGGTATCCCAAGTAAAAAGAGTGTCAAGTGGCTGAACAAATATTTGTGTGTTGCTGTGATGCTGGAAATCATGCTACCAGCAAATACAATGCCAGCAGGGTAACCTATGTTAGATAGGTGTCCGTGGAGCTTCCAGGCTAAGACAAACTTGGAAAAAGTCCTGCCGATCTTCTAACAATTAGCCAGTGAAAGTCCTAGGGACATAGCAGACTCCTGGGTGACACAGTTCTAGAAGATGAGCTCTCTGGGTTGGAAGGCATTCAAAGGGGGTCACACTGGGCATGCCAAAGATTATGCAGATTCAGGGCCAGGAAACATTTCACTCTATTGTATATGAAATACCCCATGAATTGGGCAACAAACACAACATACAAACATGAGTTAAGACTAGAGATAACTCAAGAGTCGTGTCCTGCCACACAAAAGATTGATTTGCTACTTTTAAGTTGCTTAATTTTATATCATTTTAAAATTCAGATGTGCATCTACTAGGTGCTACTTCCTACCTTGTAAATTTTAACTCAAGACAACATAGCTATGAGATATCAAGAGTTTGAAAATACTTACTGAGAGGTTAAGCGTTTTGAAAAGTTAACATTCCTGGTCGGAGATGAAACTATAACCTACCAGATTGAAACCGGGCGTTTGGCAAGCAGAAAGACACGCCTGCATGAGGAAACGCACCTGGCATAGCCACGCATCTGCAAAGCATGAGAATTTGCTCTGCTGGTGTCATACTGCACATTTTTCTCCTGACCTATATCTTAAAGTTACCGTAGCTGGGCAAAGCTGAGGAGCCAAGGAGTAACATCATCTCAGCTCTGGTTACCCTCCTTACACTTTTGTTTCCCCTTGGTCTAAACATATCACCAGTAGTCATTTATCTCTAATCACAGATCTAAAGGCCTCTCAAATTACTCAGGCCACCTTGCACCTAGAACAGTGGTTCCTCCTAATGCCGTGACCCTTTAATACAGTTCCTCATGTTATGGTGACCCCCAACCATAAAATTATTTTTGATGCTACTTCATAACTATAATTTTGCTACTGTTATGAATCTTAATGTAAATATCTGATATGCAGGATGTATTTTCATGGTTACAAATTGAACATAATGAAAGCATACTGATTAATTACAAAAATATGCAATTCTATATTGTGAAGTATTTATTTCTAATGACAAATAAATGAAATGTTGTCATGAAGCATGGTGTAGCATGGGTAACAGTCTTCATGCCGGGTACTCTTTATGTGGGTGAATCTGCACGTGGGCGGACCTGCCTGGAGATAGATAGAGGAGCAGTGTCTCAGTTCTTAAGACCCTCGCAAATATGTGTTTTCTGATGGTGTTAGGTGACCCCCGTGAAAGGGTCATCCGACCCTCAAAGAGGTTGCAACTCACAAGTTAAGAACTGCTGGTCTAGTAGGTAACTCTATCAACATTTAGAGGACTGGCTTGAATTTGCATCAGTTCCTTCCAATGATCATTCCTGCTACTTTGAAATACTCCTTCATATAAGACTACTCTCTTGGTCCTTATGAGTTTTGAAATAACCATGGACCACGAGAAGATGTGCTTGTGGTTACTTTGCCCATCTGAAATAAGTAAATGTGAGTGTGAGTTGATATTTACCTGCATCTTTAGGGGTTTGTATTTCAAATTCTAACAGATTTTCTTGTTTTTCTTCGATATCTTGCAGAATGGCGCTGATGGTGCGATGCTGTCAGATAAAAACATTGGGAACTGCATTATAGGAGCATGTTTCTATGATCCTATTGACAAACACAGTCAACAGAGTGCTAACGGAAGTGCTGCAAAAAATGCCAAAAAATTTATGGGCAACAACTTTTTTTATTAATCATTTTATTGGGAGCTCTTACAGATATTACAATAATCCATAATTCAATTAGATCAAGCATAATTATGCAATTGTTACCACCATCAGTTTCAAAACACTTTCTTTCTTTTTGAACTCTTTGATATCAGCTCCCCCTTGTCTCCTCCCTCCCCAATGGGCAACAACTTTTAAGGAATCAGCCTTTCCCATTGACTTCTATTATAATTATAGGCATTGTTGTTGTATGCCCTGGAATCTATTGTGACTAACAGCAAACCATACAGAGTAGGACGGAACTGCCCCATAGGGATTCCTAGACTGAATCTTTGTGAAAGCAGACTGTCTCACCTTTTTCTCTCGGAGTGGCAGATGGGTTTGACACACTGACTTTTCACTTGGTGGCTGAGAGCTTAACCACTGCTCCACAATATTCCTCTGGCTCCTTGAGGCTTCCTCACCCCCCACTATTATAACCCCCATTCTGCCTTTCACTTCGGGCTAGACTGCAACATGTACACTGGTACAGATAAGAGCTCACAACACGTGAATCCAGGCTGGATAAACCCCTCAGGAACAGAACTAGGAGTAGCAATACCAGGAGGGTAGGGGGAAGGTGGAGAGAGGAAGGGAGGAAGGGGAAACCAATAGCAATGATCAACACATAACCACACACAACCATCCCCCCACCCACCACTGATGGGGACAAACAGCAGAAACGTGGGTGAAGGGGAACAGTGGTTGGCGTAAGATATGAAAATAATAATCATTTATAATTTATCAAGTGGTCATGAGGGTGGGAAGGGGAGGAGGGAGGGAAACAAGAGGAGCTGATACCAAGGGCTCAAATAGAAAGTAAATGTTTAGAAAATAATGATGGCAACATATGTACAAATGTGCTTGATACAATTGATGTGTGGATTGTTAAGAGAGCTGTAAGAGCCCCCAAATTTAAAAAAAAATCTTTATGATCAGTATGGTGAGACCTGCCCATTCCAAAAACATGGAAACACGAAATGAAACATAATTCACTTTAAGCACAGAACATGCGTACACGTAAACACACAAACATCCAAGGATGGAGAAAGAAAAGGAAGTCACCTGGTAGCAGAAAAAAATCCAGCAGAGGCCCATGTGGGACAGGAGCAGACCAAGTTCTTAGGGGCTGAATTTTTCATGCCCAGAAAGGAAGGGGAGGTAAGACCTCAGCACCACTAAACCAGGCTGCTTACCTCTTTCCTACCAGGGATCCTGGGCCTTTTCTCAATAGTCTCTCCCTAGAGGGACAGTGAAGAGAGGAAGGCCCTGAACACGATGGATGGACACCGTGGCTGCAACAATGGACTCGGGCGCAGCAGCGATGCTGAGGATGGCACAGGATGGGGCAGTGTTTTTGTGCTGTGCACAGGGCCGCTATGGGTCATAACTGACTCGATGGCATCTAACAACAACAACATATACCCTAGACATGTGAGGGAGTGGATGGGCTAAGACATATGACATTGGCATAGTCTGTGAGACAGGAAGTAGCTATAGAACCCAAACTAGATGAAAGAGAGCATCCAAACAGTAGTCCTGTTATTCAGTATGAGCTAACCAAACAGTACATCTTCTTGGTTCACCCTGTTCCATTTCTAGTTACGACAAACACTTTTTCCTTTTTCCCTTTGTGTGACCTTAAAATGAGTACTGCCAACAACTACTAGCTGACTGGTTCAAAGAATGGCATTTTCTAGACTGATGAACCCAAAGATTTCAGTGTCACTCACCTTAGGAAGGCTTTCTCTGGTGTTTTCGTGGTGTGAAGGGGAAGGTTGATCAACAGTTTTGCAATCATCAGAAATGTGCTGTTTATGTCTTTTTGGCCAAACAGTAGTACTTTTTCCTGGAAAAAATTAGATAATATTTATATGTGTGAAAATATATTTAAAAAGGAAAACAGACATATATAAAATTAGCTTCATTCCATAAGCTGTAATTGTAACAGATGCAACAGATAAATTGTCTAAAGTAGTATCTTAATACTACTCGGTACTTTGGACATGTTATCAGGAGACAGTAGTCCCTGGAGAAGGACATTAGGCTATGCGTCAGCACTGACTCGATGGCCGTGCATTTTTGAAAGTGAAGGGGCACCAAAAAAGAGGAAGGCCCTCAACAAGATCGATTGACTGAATGACTGCTCCAATGGGCTCAGACATCGGAACAACTGTGAGGATGGCACAGGGCCAGGAAGTGTTTTGTTCTGTTGAACAGAAAGTCCATATGGGTTGGAGCGGACTTGATGGCTCCGAACAACTCAGTATCTCATTTATTT